AAAGAAAATTGAAAAAAAAAGGTCTATAAAATCCTTTCATCAGCCTTTGCTTTCTGTTTTGATTTTGAGCCTTTTCCTGTCTGCTGCCCTTAACATTTTTACCTTTCATTGGACTGGAAAGCAGTTCCAACCCAAGTTTTTTCCCTCTATGGCTAGAGCTATGTAAAAGCAGATCAGATATGCAGGCTGTATGGGCAGTTATAGAGCGAATCATTCGCAAAGTCTTGCTATTAAACACATGTGTAGTGTTGACCCTGAAAGTACCATGGGCTGTCGCTTGGCAAAGGCATAAATAACCTATGGCCAGGCCCAGCAAGTGATCCAGGCATTGCGTGCACTATGCAAAATTCTTTCTACAACTTCCGCTCACTGTTTCTCTCTGCTGGCTGATGGACTTAGTGCGATTTTTTCCATTGGTTTTCTGAAGTGAAATTTCTGCAGGCGTGGACCACACTGAGGAGCCGAGGAGGGGCAGGTGAACATAGAGAGGAGGCTTGACTACAGCACTGCGAACTCCTGAGTGTTGTAGCCTCCTGAGCTGATGACTTTCTTCTTCCTCTCTTCTAGTCACTGTACCAAACAGCATCACCCTAATTAACTGCAAACCCCTGTTTGGATGGTCTTACTTGGCTTAAAAAGCGGCTTATTTCTGCCTTGGAATTATCTTGTTTCTATAGCATAATAAGCTTAGATGAAACACTTCTAGCTCCATTGCTAGAAGTGCCTTGGGGTGGCTACAGTTACTGACATAGTACTCATGCAGTGGTAGCAATACATTGCACTTGGTGATAAAGGCAGGTGGGTGTAAAGCGTATGCTTTAGTGAAGGTGATCCCACAGCGGACTGCAGTGCCTTTTCTACCTGTTACGGTACAGATAGTCTTTCAAGGAAGAAGTTGGTTTTAACTCACGATAATGAGGTAACTCTATGATACAGGTTTCTGAAATGCCAGGAGCAAAGGCAAGCTGACCAAATTTTGTGACTCGCTTTGTTCAGCTATAGCTGAGACCACTCAACTTCCTTTCCTAAAGTAAAGACTCAATAGTCTCCAGTGTTGTGTATCTTGTTGGCTTTGGTCTGACTGCTGGAACAAACCCTTAAGTGCTCCTACGACACACAGGAAACTAGCCCTGTGGTATTACCTGCAGCTGCACACTCTGCGCTCAATGATTATGCAAAGCTCTTGCTGAGCTGCTGGATGCTTCTTTAGCATCTGCTCCATCCAGGTTTTTGGCTCAGTATCACTTCTGTTCAAAGCAGGCTCTTCTGTAAGGCAGGCTGCTTTAACTCACCCTTGCAGCTGTCACCAGTGGAGATTCACTGCCTTTACCTATCACTGCGATTTTGTGCATCTACAGCTCTTTCTCACACCACACAGGCAGTCACCAGAGTTGGTCCTTTCTTCACATGCCTGCTTATTCTCACGCAGAGAGCACTTAGGTTTGGGCAACATGCAAGGAAAAAAAAAAAAAAGGCATATTCTTCATGCTATTATAATTTACTGTAGAACTGATCCCTAACCGGAGATGATAATGATCAAATGCTTGGCTTGTGGGCTGTTTGGACATTATAGCTTGTCCATGCCTATTTGAAGTCTTCAGAGACTACAGGAGTTAAGACATAACCTCATCTGGTTTACAATCCTCATCTCTGACAGTTTGTCTTTAGAGATGTAATGACGGAACATGGCTTTTAGGCTCTGCTTATTTAATGTTTTTAACTGATAAACCAGTATGTTTTTGTCAGAGTCAGCAGCCGATGAGCCAGCTGTTCATACCTTTTGTGAGATGGTGGTGACTTCAGTTATCTTCGAAAGAAATGTGATGGTGATGTTATTGCAGCAGCATTGCTCCTAAGCAGAACTGACTCCAGGTCTTTGACCACTGAAGGTGGTCTCAGCTTCTACACTTCCTGAATCTAAAATATGAAGAAATGGTGGCACTAGAAAGGGCCCTCCAAGTAAATGCTGAGAAGTTCTATTGGGTGGTGTACACAAACACATTTCTGCCCCTGTGAAGGCAGCCTGTGCCCTTGGATGAGTAACACTGTGCTCTGTGATAGCTGTGCTGGAACCATGGGACTATGGCAGGCAGGTTCTACTCCAGCTCAATCTCTCCCTGAATACTTAATGCAAAATCCAAGACCTATTTCTTATTTAAATTCCTTGCCTTCATAATTTGAAAGACATTAAGTTTTGGCCTTTGCTTTTAAGCAGATGGATGCTCATCATTTACTTGCATAGTCCCTTTTTATGCCACCCTGTTAGGTGCAGGAAAAATTTGCATTAGTATTGAGGTAGATCAAAAGATTTTCTTTCCACATATGCTGCAAATAATGTCTTTTTCTGGAAGAAGAAAATGAAAAAACCAGTCCTTTCCAAATGGTTTGTGAGATGATCACGATCAGTGTTTTTAAAAAAAATCTATCCCCCTCCCCCCCCCAGATGCAGCATCAGGTAAGCATACATGGCTTCTAGTTTAGCATGGGTTTAGTATTTAAATGTTTCCTAAAAGTTCATTGTTTTAGTAAAAAAAAAACCCAAACGAAACACACCACCCACCCAGAATGATCACCCTAATTTATGGGAGCTCGAAAAGGTAGTAGGATAACAGATAGGGAGGAAGGTGATCAATTAAGACATTAAGCATTTTGCACCACATGGACGCATCTGCATGTCAGCCAAATAATAAGGCCATCAGCTCATTTTCAGGGGACTGTTGCCTACTTCAACTCAATCCTCAGATCAAAGAGAAAATGTCTGCTTGCATTTTCTAATCAGAAAAGGGATGCTAATTTAGGTTCCTTAATGTGTGGTGGTAAGAGACTTCTTCAATTAACTGAATTCTATAGCTCAGAAAATAAAAAAGGGGGATACAAAGGGAGTCAGGCTGGAAAGGCAGAAGTTCTCATTAAATCAAAGGTCCAATATTCATTACCTCCAGCATCTGGGGCTAAACACTAAACACGGAGATCATCAAAGGGGGTTTAATGGGTTAAATTGAGAATATAATCTAATTAAAATATTAGATAGGAGTAAATAGCTCTTTGATATTCATCTGAAGGTTTCATTAAAATAGGTACTTGAGGTTTGTATTAAGGGGGGATTATCACTTTTAAGCAGAAACAACAAGTTGAGGTTCCCTAATCAGAAATGCTTCAAAGTGCTACCATTTGGTTTAAAAATAAATGCAAAGCAGCAACTGGCAGAGCATGGAAACATTCACCCAACCTAGCTTGACGGATCATGCTGCAGGCATGCACGTTCTACAGAAGGGGCAAATGCAGTTCCCAAGGGTGAGGAGAAAGGAGGCTGAGGCAGAGGATGCTCCTGTTCCAGAAGTTGCAGTGGACATTTGAAGATGTCTGCTGCTGCACTTTGATATGCAAAACACTTCCCCTGCAACCTGACTCACATTCCCCACACTGGAAGACGCTTCATCCACCAAGCTTCCCCCAAAGATTATGTATGTCACAAACTTCCGCCAGAGAAGTCTAAAAGTCTAATTCGGCATGGGTGGTGGGAAGCAACCGACAGGGTGGAGAGCTTCCTGTCTCTCAGGTGGGTCAGGATGGCTTTAAAGAAAGGAACATGTCCTTTTTCCATGACAGAGAGATGCAGTATGGCCATCACTTTTTTTCCCATATTAGGTTGGGAACCTGACTGCAGGGCGTATTTCAGCAACTAACCCACTTTCAGGAGGACTGAGGCATCCTGAGGACTGTAGGATCTAGGTCAAACTCACCCAGGACTCTAAAAAATGAAAGGTAAAGGACTTTTCCAGTAATATATGTCATACCTCCAATGCCTTGACATCACTGTACACCTACTGGAAAATTATCTTTCCTGTGAGACATCCAGCCAATGAAATGTTAACCCAGAAATGTGTTAAGTCTTACATATTTCTATCTTTACCTTTAAGAAAAGGTGCATCTAGAAAAAGAGAAAGCCATTTCAAAGACATTATCTCTTTTATTCCCCACCTTACCTTTTCATTGTTAGCCTCCTTCAAGGAGACTCAAACCCTTTTTCTTGCCCAAAGACTAATTTTCTCTCTCCTCCCATACAAAAGGGGACCTAATAAATTGGACAAAGCAATTACACATAATCACGAGGTTGCTGGTTTTTTTTTTTCCTTTCAACTAGCCTATTTTCTAAGAGAATTTAGTGTGTTTTCTTCAAAATTCCCTTGCTGTGGGTTCTAATCACATTTCATATGTTGACTTAATTCATAATTTACTAAGTTAAAGAAACGGAACCATCGTAAGAAACCCATCTGTTTGTTGTTACTTTTATAGATTTAATCTGTTAAAAGCTGTTTCCTCTCCAACATTATCCTTAGTTACTCAATATATTTTCCAACTGCTTCTGGCTAATAACAGATTGTCTGCATGATCAGCCAGTAGTTGTTTTGAATTTCCTTGTTCCAGGTTAAGCTTCAAAATTTTGGTCTTGATGTGACAACTATTCACTAACAGATAACAGAGTAACATTTCAGTAATTAGTATTGTATCATTACCAACTGCTATGTTTGGTGCACGTTTTTATTCTCTTTCTTACCAGCAATGGATTATTATTGGCTTTATTTCTGGACAGTCTGTCAAAATCTCTGCACTTCAAAAAGAGAAACATTGCTGGTATTAAGATCATCAAATGAAACTGATGTTTATTTTTAGTGTTTTGTAGATATGTCCATATGTTTGACATGTCTAAAAATGATCCAGCTGTGGCAAGCCAACAGCTGATTAGTCTGAAAGATGCAACTGCTAGATCAGTTGATTTCAAAGAAAAATAACAACAGAGACGATCATATTTAAAATGCTACATACGCAACTGTTTACATTTTTTAAAATTAGGTATAATAGAACTGATTCTAAAATTTAACGATGATTAAACTTAAGCCACTTTATGGAATGGTAAATCAAGATGTGATGGTCATAGCTCATAATTAAAGAGTTCAGACATTTTTGCCTTGAAGATATCCCTAATAATTTCAAAATACTTATAAGATATGAAGGGTTCTGAAAGCAGCTACAACTTGCTTCTCCTTCTCGTGTCTATTTTGCAAAGTTTCCAAGGATGCGATTTGAGGTAAACTGTCGCCATTTAAAGTCTGTGGCAGAACTCGCTCCTCTTTCACCTCTTCATCCGATTGTCTTGCCGTGAAAGTCTTTGGTCTAGGAATCGTCTTAGCATATTCCAGAGCCTAAAAACATGAAAATTGGGGTAACTGATTAAGAGAAAACCTGACCAATATTTCCAAGAAAATTTAGGTGTTTCTCTGTTGAGTCAAATTAATAGTTCTGCTAATTCCTGATCTTGTTTCTGACAGTGTTCAATACTAGATGCTTCAGTGGTGACTGCAAGAAACCTCTGCAGTGGGCAAAATTACCCACCTCAAGGAGATTTGCTTTCTGACACTTACCACTGGAGGCCACCTTAAATACTGAAGCAGTGTTTTTTCTTTAAAAAGAAAAAGTAACACGAGTCTATTAAGTTTACAAACATTTTTTTTTTTCAGTCTCATTAAGCTCTTGTCCTCAGTCATATCTTATAGCAGGGAGTTCTGCAAGCTAATATGACATGGATGGAAACTGAGTGCTCCTATGACAAATTCTAAGGAATTGATGTATTGAAAGGCCTAAAAAGTTAAAACAAGTTTTGAAATGAAGTCTTGGTAACTGTTTTAAATTCTCTGGAACCTGATTTAAAATAATCCCTTGCCAAATTCCTTTTTGGTTAATTTCAAAGCTAACACAGTTCTGAACAGGAAAAGATTTCTGAACAAGTGAGGCTGGTATTAGACATGCCAACCCTTAACACATAACTGTTTCAGAGTGAAACAAAGAATTGCCTCTCACAGAATTCCCAGAGTTCTGTTATACCCATGCATATTCTATTGTGACTGGAAATTTCTTTACCAGTAACACGCAGTCTGCGCAGGACCCACACGTACTATACTGAGAATATGAACAGCAGCATGAAATAAACCACCATTCCAATTTTTTTCTACCTCAGACACTCTGAGTGTGTGTATGCTGAAAAACTATACCGTGAAGCTGAGGGAAAGGAGGGCAGTAATGGAATACTGACAGGGACAGCATATCTTGAAGAACTGTACTTCCCACACTGGCAGAGTGTTTCCTTTTATCATGCGCTTTTCCCAGTATGTATTTCTGTAGCAGTATATAGGTAAACTTGTATGTGTGAATGTGAGACATAGGTAAAGGCTATATTGTGCGACAAGTATGTAAGTTCTGTTTAACCGGGCTTACGTTCTACTGCATGATAAGCTTAACTATCAAAATTAAAAAGAAAAACAGGAGTACTCAAGCTGTTGTTCTAGATCTGACATGTCTCACTGAAGCTGAGCAGGGCCGTGCTGAAAGAGGAATACAAAGCAGATACCTGCAAGAGTGTCAGATAGTATGGAATGATGTATGGAATCTGGAAGGCTGTCTTGCAGAGGGAATGGAAACAGTATTACAGAAAACCTGAAACTGAGAAAGCCCTGGTTTAACCTGGGACATTTTCTGGTGTCTGTGTTTCAGTTGCATGTATTTGGAAACACCTGTTACGTCTCAAGTGGAAGTTGCATTATTTCACGTTCTTGGTGAAAGAGTGTCTGGGAAGTCTTCTGAAGGAATCCAAAGACCTTTTGACATCCAAAGAATACTGTTGTTTCTCTTTGTGGTTTATATGAGGTTTGGAAATAAATGCAAGTAACTGAAGAATTCAATTGATATTAAACTCCAAAACTTATTTCCTGAAGCATGCAGTTTGCATTCGTCACCTTGGAGAAATACCCGTTAGCGTGCTTTCAGCACCAGGCAGGTGAGCTCCTGCAGAACTGATTGGATAAAATATATGCTATTTCCAGAGCTTTATCACTTCCTGCAATAGGGAAAAGGTGCTCCCTTTGTTTGTTTATGTATGCCACTGTCATGTAGTCAGTTGTTGCTCATTTGGGCTATTTTTGAAGGCCAGTGAAGGCTAAAGTGATGTTGTGTGGGCTTGAAAAATAAGACCAATTACTGTAGCTATGCAACTGAAGTGAAAAGAGTTTGTGAGTGAGACCGACAGGCAGGTGGAAAATAGACTAAAAAGAGGGTATCTGTGGTCCATTAGAAGAGTGCACTCTGCAGTAGTGTGGCCTCTACCACTGATGTGAAGCAGAGCATGTGCTGCATGGGGTAAAGCTCCTAGGAGGGTCCCACTCTCCTTTATCGCCACACTTTCCCCAAGAAAACATCACTAGCTGTTTAAGCCAAGTTGAGTGCTGATAGCTTGGATGGAGTACTGCTCTGTTTCCACTTGGTACGCTCTCATGAAGAGCAAGGCAGATGGATGGACTGAAGACTGCTGTTGGCAAAGAGATCGGCAACTCTTGGCACAAATCTACAGCCATAACAGAATAGATGCACAGATGAGCACTTGCCAGCACCCCATGAGAGTAGAAGTCCTTAGAGTTGTCAAAAGGAAAATCAAAGGGGACAAACTATTTTAGCCTACTGTAAGTTAAATTTATGCTTTTCTTTTTCTTTGTGCAAAGTCCAGAATCCCTCCCTGTGTGCGTTTTAAAGGGGCTCTGTTCTTACCTTCTGTCTTGACACTGAAGATATGACCTGGGGTTTTGTAGGTAACCTCTGAACAGAAGCAATGCTTTTCATATTGTGTTCCTTAATTTGCTTTGCATATTCCTTTTGTTGCTTTAACTTCTCTTTCTGACAAAAGGAAAGAAGTCTATGGTTAATTAAATGTCTCAGTGGATCCAGCAATGAAACACTTTTTCCACCTGAGTCTTCCATTTACACCCCTGTTGCTGTTTAACCTGGCTACGCTATTGATCATTCCTCAGCAGAGCACAGCGGGAAATCCTGATAAATGGCACAGCTTTTTTAGTCATTCTTCATTTTTAAGAGCTTTTTCTTGGACCGTATCGAGGATAGAGCTCAACAGAAATGCAACAGGTGCATCTTTATTCTGAATGTTTCAATATATCTGTTCAGTTCAAAAAGGGCTGTGCTCATTTCTGTCAGCTTTTGCAATGACTTTTAAAACCTCTATACTTACTTTTAAAGCCCTGAATGACATGCTTCATTTACTTAACTGATATTCTGTGTCTTTGTATTTCCAGCAATTCACTATGCTCAAATTCAGCAGTATGCTCTACCTTGCCCCTGTTATCAGCCAATGTCAATTATTTCCTTTCAATGCAATGATACCCCAGTGGCATGCCAGGTTCCAGAAGTGTTATGATGGTGTTAAAAACGCACAGAGGTCTGAGCTATGCACCACTCTGTCCATTCCAGTTTCAGATCTCTAATCTGTTTCATTTATGGCAAGGAGGAAGAAAATACAGGGGCTTCTCAATGACTCCAAAGGGATGATCATTTTATCATTTTTCCTTCCTGCTGTCCTACAATGTTCCTATAAAGAATGCCATATAAAGCACCTGTTGTCAGATTAATAGGGTCTCAAAGCATGCAGGATGGAGTCTGCAGTACCTTAGATATACAGCTGCTACCAGACCCTCATTATCAGCAGAGAACAGGTCAAATGATATCAGTTGTTCAGATACTTCTTCTGAATGATCTGTCTCCATTTCAATAGGGTAACACACAATCAGCGATTTTCTTCTTGTGTTTACACAACTTCTTCTTTTCCTTCCACTTCGAAGGTTAGGCAAACCTTCTACTACGGGAATGACAGTGCAACTCAGTCACATGAGTGTATAATTTACTGATGTGCTATTAGCCCTATTGAATTCTGTGAACTACTCCCTGTTTCTGGAACTACAAAATTAGAGGGTTAAAATTATCCACAATACAGTTGTCTTTCCTTCTCTTTGAATCTCCCCTCAGGATCTCAAGCTAGACCTGGAGTCAAGGACATAAAGTACCAGACAAACCTAAGTTGCTTCTCAGCAGTGATTTCTTTGCCATTCTCCCCTGCCTAAGTTCACTTTGCACAACTGAAAAGCAGATCATATAATAAGGACTGCTTACTTTCCCTTTGATTGCTTCATAGTCAGGTCCGAGGCCTCCAAGCTTCACATTCAGATTTATGTAGGCTTTTGAGCTACATGGCTGAAAAACAAACAGCAGTAACAGGTTTTCCTTTATATGATTTCACAGAGAGCATAATTAAAGCAAGTCTTGTAGCGGATGCCCAAGATAAGAGCAGGATTCAACTTGCAGTCTCAGTCTTACCTCTGGCACGTCTCATTTTAAGGATTGTAAGTGACCAAAAAGATTGAGTTAATTGCACAAGTCAAATTACACTGTATTTCCTTTGAATCTAGGTGGGTAATTGCCAATCATCCAAATCACAAAGACATACTTTCTTAGTAAAAAAATGATCTTTTGTGAGCTTTATTTTTCAACAGCTTAAAGAGACCCATTTGACTGTTATTAGAATTAAACTCCAAAGAAACTGTTACAAGAGAAGCAGTAAAAGTACCTGATTTTGGTGGTAAAAAAATTAGGCAAATGATATTAGTAACAGTAACCTTTCCTTGTTCTCAAAACTGCAATGGAAAATTGTTCACAGACAGTTCAAAAATACATGCCTTGCAGCACAGCAAAAGCTTTACAAGTGCATAGGGAAGGCAGAAGGTGAGTCATGGGTGATGCCATTTCAATACTTCATGACATTACTACAAAGACCTCAATACTTCCAGAATCTTTCTAATCTCTTTCAAGAACACTAGATTAATTTTTAGAAGTGGACTATGTTTTAAAACTTGTCAGTGGAAACTCATTGTGATGGGCTCTATAGTAATTTCAGTCACAGAGTAATGCAGAAACACCAAGACATTTCTATATGCAAATAAAATGTGCATTTCTTCGAAGGCCGTGTTCAAGTTAAACTCAACTGCAGAGAAACTAATTCTATGCACTGAATTTTCTATTTGATGTTTCTTTGTGTCATTTATCCCTATTCTTTTGTGATATACTTACACCTAACTTTTAATTTAAGGTGCTATGAAGAGTTAATAATTTAGCTGTCTGCAACAAAATCAGGGTTTTCTCACTTCATGCAATGAGTATGACTGCATCTGTTTACTAGGAAAAGCTGGATTTTTCTGTGAGACATAAACAGTCTTACTCTCTGTGGCATTCCTCACATATGAAGCGTGAGAAAGCTACTGAAAATACAGGAAAGAAACAATGGTTTGAACTTAGGGGAACAGAAAGGGAAGGAAATCTGCCCTTCAGTTACTATCATAATCCAGCTAATTCTTCTTAGAGGCATTCAAGCAGGAATACACAAACTGCCTTCTAGATGAAACACATGAGTAATTATTCCAGCTTACTTTGTCTGCCCCGAGACTTGGAGCTAACTTCTTAAACATTTGTCATGGACACACAGGGATATCTCTATGCTGTTCCACTGCATCTGTGTTAACTGGTTACAGTATGAAACTGGACACACAGAAAAGACAAAAAGAACCAAGTTTTAATAAGGACCAAAATGGGATCATCAGGAGACTTGTAATAATGTTTACGCCGTTAGCTTTACAAATCCTCTAAGTTTGTTATTGTTCAGTTTGATTCCCTTGGAAACCAAGAGATTTGAGTTGGATAGCAAATGAGCATGACCAGGATAATGGTTTGCTCAGATCTGAGCCCTGGCTACCTGCTGCTTTATACAAATAGCTTTATTCTAAATCATTTTATCACTGGATAACTAAAAGGACAAACACTGCTCTGTGTGTTCTTAGAGCTAATCAAGACTGAAAGTGACATAGAGAGAGGTGGTGGTGAACCACCTTGCTCTTTAAACTAGAATGATTTTAGTGTCTGTTTCCAGCTTTGTTCCTTGGTTTTTAATGCTCTGGGCAAGTCAGTGTGTGTCAGCATGCTCTCTGTAACAAAAAAATTTTTCTCCGTTCCCCATTTTTTTTGGGGGGGGGGGGGCGTTTAAGATTTTTGGATTATTAAAGAAAAAAATATTAATCAGAGGGGGAAATAGAAATGTAAAACCGTTCAATCTACATCTATTTGCTTACCTTCTTGCTGACTTTAGGCTGGTTTTGCTTTTCCATTTGCATGAGATATCCTTCTGAGTTGCTTCGGCTTATTTTCACTTGATTTCCTTCACTGCTCTCTGGATCTACCTCTGAACCACCTTCTACCTGTGGGATTATAGGTGGAAGTAGGCTGAACAAGTGCTTGTCAGCTAAGTGAGCTTCTGCCAAACGAGTGATTTCTTGGTGATGTCGCTCCGTCGTTTGTGTAAATTGGGAGGTTGTACAAGGAGCTGTCGGTGAACTGTGAACAGAAGATTGAGAAGGCCTCAAAAAAGAAAGAGGGGGAAAAATAAGAATCTTATATATCTGTATACAGCAGATAGCTCAACAAGCAATCTGTACATGGGATGATCATTGCTCACAGAATATACTGAGAACATGAAGATAGAAAGACGGGTATTTCACAATGACTGACTTTGCTTGCACCCAAATGTATGGAAACTGTCCATGGAAAAATTATAGATGGGGAAATTTTCAGCCTGATGCAAAGCTAGCTTAAGCCAATGAAAACTGCCTTTAAATAGCTTTGGATCAGGCCTGCTGAGTACTGAAAGAATTAACTGTCCATGTGAAATAAACCCTTCATTTTTATCAAGGCAGGTGAAATTCTACATAGCTAAGGATTTTCATGCCCTTCCCCATGTGTAGCGAGCCAGAGCTGGCACTGGAATGACTCTGGATATTCACCCCGCAAGGCAAGTTTTGATATAAACCTGTGCAGCTAGCAGTAGACTTAGTTTATGCACAGTGCTCTTTGCTATCTATTTTTTAAACTCCACCTTCTAGCCTTTCAGAAGGAAACTTTCAGTTGTGGAAAATTCTATGTGCAAGAGAGCCTGGAGTACAGAACTGTCCTTTTCCAATACTGTATTTAAAAATCAATAGTTATAATGAATCTTAAGTCAGTAGTAGTCTCTAGTGGCAGGTTTGTAGCAAAATAATTTTGTATTTTGGACTTTAAAACATTTTCTTGTCTATGTCTATTTATTCTGGGCATCATAGTGTTATGATAGTGTTTCAACACTTATATCCTTATCATAAACTACTGATTGCAGAGTTCTTATACCTTTTATCTGCATAAATGTGTCTTTTGGAATCCTGAAGTGATCCTTGATCCTTCACCAATTCTTGAAAATTCACATTAAAAGTAGATGAAATATTCCTCTGATGTGGAGGTACTTGACCATTGGTACTGTTATCTCCTCCAAAAAGCTGCACAGTGACATGGTTGTATAAATGTTGCTGGTCATGTGGAAGTCCATTTGGAGAATCATACTGGTATTTCTTGTTCTCTTTGTTGGTATATGCTGGAGATACAACTTCTGCTGGGTTAAATTTATGTAATGTTGGATGAAAAGGATAGGTAGATGTGGTAAAATCCTGATTAACAAAATGTATTGAATTTTGGACATTACTTAAGCAAGTATCTGAATTTGCTGCTGTATTAGTGTCAGGGCCAACAGAAGGACTTGGATACAGCCATTTCTGCAGTGTGCTGCTACTGTCTTGCTCCACTGCCTGCATGGAAACAGTCTGAAATTCTGATATTTGGTGGTGCCTGTGGTGCCAAGACTTTGGTTCTGCTGGTCTTCCTGGTGGTTGTTGGCTATCATTCCTTGGGAAAGCTCTCCCTTTCAGACTCTGGTTGGATTTTATTTTGTTTCTCTGGGAGGACTTATTTTGGTGATCCTAAAACAAGTTATCAAAAGTGGGGTGAATTTCAGTGATAGCTATTTTATATGTTCATTAAGATCAACAATAGACAAGTGTATGGGTAAGTTTGCCTGTCACAATGCCTTTCATGTAGCTATTTCTTAGAATTCTACAAATTAACTGATTAACTGATGTTTTGACTAGATTACATCATGTTCTATGACTCTAATTCAGGACACCATTCTTATTTCAGACAGCCCTTAAACAGCTGTGCAGGTTACAATGAAGCTGAGTTCTGAACATGTACTGAAATTTGAACATGTGTTGACATGGTACCTTGAACAGGCCTGAACAGGCTGGAGTGCATAATCATCTGTCCCTTTAAAAATCAGGGATGTATGGAGCCAGTCACCCCTGTTTCATGTACACTCACAACTAGAAAAGGGTTATAGCAATATTTTATACAGCTGAATGAGTATCATGATGGAAATTAGTTTTAAAAGTAAGCTCTTAGCAGAGAGTGAAGTGTAAAAGGAAAAGCATCTGTGACCCGAAGTCTAGCATGGTGTGGAGAACAGTCTTTCTTTGTGGCATTTGTAAGGCTTCGGGTTTGGGTTTTTTGAATTAACAAAACATGTCTTCATAGAAGGGCCCTTAAAGAGACCTAGGTATTGTATTGGTCCTTCACAGCTATAACAGTTCTTTAACCTACTGATGATGAGTTAGGCCAGTTTGCACAAGTTGGATTAGACCCATCCAAATCACTCTGAGCTGCTTCTGTCTAACCCTGACTCAGTAAATTATGGTCATGGCTAGAGTAAGTGATGGCCTGGCCAGACTTAATCTAAAATTAAAATATGTAGGAACCCCTAGTCAAGATCAGAAGCACAGATGCTACTCAGGTGCTGCACAGACAATGCAGATTACTGCATCAAAACTGCTTAATGGCCTGGGACAAATTCTGAAGCAGAACACTATAAAAATGGTTCCTTACAGATGCAGACCATATCTAAGAAATGATGCTGTGGTAAATATGGAATGAGGGAGTTTTATCTGAACGAGGTGCAAAAATAGGTGCCCTTAAATACACAGGACTACTTGTTTCTAATCCTGTAGACAAGTGGTAGCTTACCGTCAACCACCTGGTTTCAAAAATCAAATCAGTTCTTGGTTTTTATCCTCTAATGAAAGTAAACTGTACTAAATTTCAGGAAAAGATGGCTATGTACACACTATTAGACTGGTCCACAGTAGAAGCAGACTGATGTCAATGATTTAAATGATTTCATTTCTAAATCAAGCACTCCTCCCTGTCCTGTATCCTGCAAAATATTATCCAAATGGTAAGAAACAATTTAAGAATTTAAGCACACCAGGACTACTGTCTTGAGCTAAACTGACATACTCTAAATCTGGAGTTTATTTAAGATTTATCGCTTTCCAATTACAGCATCAGGTGTTGCCCATTTTGAGGAAAGACATGGCTTTCCTTCCAAGGAATATACAAATCCATTCTCAGTCCATTTAATCTTTGTCAGCACTAAAATCCTCCATTTCATTCTCCTGTCTCTCTAGGGTTCTTTTGTTAGCAACACTTGCAATCACTACATAGCATATGCACTCAGAATAACTACTTAATGGTAGGTATTAAATCCACATACAGAGCAGAATGTTTTGGCGAAAGCTTTATCACTAGGGAATCCTGACTCCTGGTGCCAAGATGATGATTTGTTAGCTCGACCTCTGCTGTAATGATTAATGTTCTGGCATACTGTGCCACTGGTGGAAATAATCAACTGCTGCCAAACTGGGACCAGGCCAATGTTGTCCTGTTTAAATGGAATGAGCAGTCCTGTAAAACACCTCCTTCATTCTGAAATTCCACATATAAGGCACATCTCTCACAATGAACAGCAGCATAAAATCTTGTTTGTCCTTTACAGAAATGCAGCTTCCAGTCTTAAGTAAACAGCAGGGAATTTAAGCAGTCTGCCTGAATTACTTCAAACACTTGTAATACAAAGAGAGTAACTAGGTTTGCCAGTAATAATTCCAGTTGCCTTGAAGTTCTGGTTCTGAAGTTCTTGGTTTTTCACCAGTGATGATAACCTGGTCTCTTTTATTGCTCCAAAGACTATCCCATTGCATTGGTTTGAAAGGCCAGCGTAAAACAGATCTATAGACTCATGTAGGGAGGGGGTCAGTGCGACTTTTTCTTCTTGTAACATTTTCTGTTTTATGGTAACCCCTTGATGTTCACGGGGATTTTAGGTGACAAGTAATGCAACAGTAGTTAAGTTCTAGCTCAGAATCCTCATGAACCATAAACAAGACCATGTAGTAGTTTGTGCTTTTACATTATTATCAATCAAATAATGTCCTAAATAGATAAGATTTTTTGAGCTCAGAATTTTTGGGGATTTGGGATCTATTTTGATTTAAAATCATTCGGTATATAAAGCAGCATATGCATTAAATTTTGGTGATTATCCACTGATATATATCTAAGGATTTATTGCCAGTAATTGGTACTTTAAAAGTAATGAGATTACAGCTTTAAATATTCAAACTTCAACGCTTTTACATATATATATTTCAATTGTCATGTTCTATCAAAAAGGAACCTTGAGCTGCTGCGCTTTCAGGTACCATTTGTCTTCAGGCTCCATTTTCACAATCTGGAATGGTAGCACACTCTGAACCGGTTCTTCATCAACAATTTTAGGATCTGTAACCTAAAAACCAAGAATGTTTATGGCCACAGCCCAACCTGATGAAAGCATTTAAAAGTCTTGGGGAAAGAATGAGAAATAATTTGCCTCCTATTAAAGCTAAAATGCTAAAGTTAGGCATTATACAACAGATAACAAGAAAACAGACGGCTAAAAGAGCAAATGAAAAAGGAAGCAGAAAACCAATTAACAGTGGTGTAGCAGTAGGGAGTATTACTTCTACTTTTAAGAAGAAGAGAGGCAAAGAAAATTGCAGGTAGTATGCAGCACAGAAACCTACTTGTAACTCTCAAATGTCTGGGCTTGTCCATTTATATGAGAGCCAGTGGATGAACCTAGTAACAGAAAAGCAACTAGACAATCATCATTGTCCAAGCAATCAGCCAGTGTACCAAGATATTGATGGATGACACACACCATAGCAGATCTTGAACAATAGGGTCATGCAGAAAAAGATGGCAAAACATAGTAATGTTGGTAGAATAGTACAAGGAGTAGCTGCAGAAATAAAGCAACTAATACCCATAGCCTGGCAACAGTATCAAACAGCTTGTGCAAAACAGCAAGCCCACAAACAAGAACATCTTCAGGTGGCTGCAGTCGTGGTAGCATGATGGCTGGAAATCAAATTTGAGCAATTTTTTGAGGGTAGCTGCTGGCACTACAGATTTCGAAGCGAAGCGATACCCTCATAAATATAGCAATAATGAAAATTTTTCTTGAAAGCATCAAACTTTTTTTTCCAATCTATAAAACTTCAGGAAAAACAATGCTTTCTTTTTATTTATACTTGTGTTGTCCCAAACTATCCTGCTAAGTACTACAGCAGGCGTGACCTCAACTAAGTGTGCAGTTAGCCAGTCTCACTGTAAAGAGACTACAGCTATGTGCTGGACTCATGCCTGTGGTAGAAGTACCTATGCACCGCTGCAGAGTGACACTGGCTAACACAGGAGAACTTGCACTGAGAAGACATTTGTGACCAAGAGAATTATTAACTGAAAAACATAATGGTGCAATCAGTGTGAAGGAAGTGTTAAATCCTTCTGGGGAGCTGGGCCTCTCATCTTTGGGGGTGAGAGATTAGGACTACTAGGAAAAGGTAGGTAGGGTTTATTGCTGAGTTTTCAGGTGATCTCATTGCCCCAAATGGCAATGCAGATTCTATTAGTTGTGACTAGAAAAGTTCACAAATTAAGTTACCACACAGGTTTCCTGAACTGTGGATAGATACAGCCTTGCAGTCAGTAAGATGTTTTTGGTGGAACCAACTGACTCACTGTATTGATAGTTTACTGGGCAGGTAAAGCATACTTCTACATTATCTCTTTGAAAGAGGAACAGGACACAACCTCTGCCAGCATTTTTTGTGAACTATTCTATTAATACCAATCAAATTGAGAAAATGATCAAATGAAATTGCATTTTGAGAATCATAAGCTGTGTAATGCCTATTCTGTTAAATTGAGGCCTATAATTGCTTCTCTACTGAAAAGATACAACAAAGACAGCAATCATGGCATGTCATTATCCCAGACTAGAAAACCGGCCTTTGCAGTGAGGACTTCAAAGGCTTGTGGTTCTCGAATTGCATTTGGCTGCTATTGTTGAAGCGCAGGCAATCTTGATTAGGTGTTTACACTGAGGTAAGGCGCAGTGCACAGAGAGTCTGAGTGCCTTGGTCTAGAGCCATTAAAAAATTGTACATTATGTTCCTTGCTTTGAAGTAAGGGGCTTGTAGGTAGGAAAGCAACTCATATTGAGTACAGCTGAGCTAGACTGGGCCACTACTTCTCTCTCTCTCTTTCTCTCTCTCTCTCTCAGAAATTCATCATCAGGTTCTTAAAGAATCAGGCAACACTGCAAAGAACTTGATGCTTTATAAAATGCAATATAAATTAGTAAATATACAGATCAACACACATTTATGCTATGTTTTGGTACATACAGCCTGCTGTCTGTATGCACTGAGATAACCGCTGTAAATCTTGCAAGAACAAGGCTGCAAATATTTTACCTAATGTTATGTCAGTTGAAAAAAAGGTATGCAAAGTACTTACTTCAATGTAAACATTATTTCATTACCACAGTACCTGATAGCCAACAGTGAACATATCAATAAAACCAGCTTTAACATCCTCAAAATAATCCAGTTTAGGAAAAAACAGTGTTCAGAACATGTTTGATCGCTCCAGCAGAAGACATGTGGCTTGTTTGATTCTTTGCATACTTGGTGTTTTTGCACTTTTGATACAGTTTTCCAGGTGAGGTGACCAAAGTTGGCTCATGGGCCAGCTCTGGTCAACAAGGTGCTTCTGCCAGGCATTCTTTCACCCCCTCCAAAGAGACTGGAGCAATGGATGTCCCGATTAAGAACAAGAGAGGTAAGTACTTCCTCCTATGCCTATCCACAGCAAATACAAAGGTAGCTGACAGTAGGTGGTGATGCTGTTGCGGCTGTATGAACTTGTCAAAGAAAGAAACACACCTTGCTACATGCATGCTGCCTGGCTCCTGCTATGTCACGGCTCTGCTGTCCCCACGGCTACTTCAGCAAGGTAGTCTTACAACATAGCCCTGATTTTAACAGATTTTTTTTTTCTATTATGTATCTTTCAATAGTGTCTACACAACGAAGTCCTGATCCCTGGCTCCAATACTTACATATGAAACATTTTCAGAATTCCCCAAATAGTAAACATAATCATATCAACACAGCTTTAATTAGCACCAATCTACACTAATTATTTTTACCATCAACCAAATTATAACTGAAAAAAACAAGTGCTCTTAATAGCTCTGCTAGAAAAAAGCTTGTCCACCATTACACTCATTGTAATGTAGTCAGCAGATGCCCTCTAATGTTGTGTCAACTGTTCATTAGCCTTGGAAAATGTGTCACGTGAAGCAGAAAGTCTCTGTAGTTTTGCAAGTTAAGAATTTTCTATGCTGCAACTCGTGGAGTGATTCAACGATTCCCACCTTCCCATTATTCATAATAAGTAGCAAGTAAAAGCAACAAACTCGTGTATAATCGTTCATTAGGAACTGTAATTACATTTCCACTTAATCCTTAATATAAGTTGTCTGACATTTCACAGTCAATCATAAGAAAGCTAGGCTCTTCAAATCCAAGTACTATACATGACTGTTATCTGCTGACTGATTTCAAACATAAGGTTTAGTTTGGCTGAGAAAGCAAGTAGGGGGAAAGGGTTGTCTGACCATGCAAATCTAACACATATTTCTTGGATATTCCTGCATGTGTGGCCCTAAATGACAGTGATAAGCAAAAGCGTGCATGGCCTTTGAAAGCAGTGTGACCACAATGTGTTTTCTGGTTCTTAAACTCAACTGTAACTTCACGTACACTTTTTTGTTAAGATCAATGTAGTGGAACAACACTAATACAGCTTTTTAAGCCAAATGGTGACATCAGGGTTTCCCACTGCAGTTAAAAAATTGCGAGTGTTCTGCTATTAGAAGCAATTTGCATTTGCTGCATTGAGCAAAATTTGGAATATGCTATTTGCAGAGGTGATTGTTACCAAATTCATGTTGGCCAAGCAGAGAAAAATCAGAGGCAGCAAAAAAAGAACTACTGATTAGGTGCAATGTAGATCCCATATGAAGGAAGCCAGCATTTCTTTAGCATCAAGATTAAAAACTAGTGAGAGATCACCTCTGTGACATGCTTCATGGACAAGAATATACGTAGCTTAACTAGGCTTGTAACGAGGCCGTCACTGGGGTTGTGAGTCACTGAGGACTTGTCAATTATTCCATAAAGGATGAACAAGATTCTCACTGGAAATCTGAAGTTACCAGTTGCATGATAGATTGTATATCTACTTACCTCCTCTGCAAACCTGATCATGCAGCTATTCCATTTTAACACCAGACAGTCCTCAGTTTATACCGATTAGAAAACATGTAAAAGTTACCTACCGGCTCTTGATGAAGTACTTCCTGCTTTTTACTGTGTAATTGAAGATAGGAATTTATCTTCTCTGAACGTAATCCTAAAGTCCGTTTATTTTTTTTTACAAAGTCTTTTTTTGCTCTTTGTGGTCGATGTTCTTGAATCTGAAGAGAAAAAGCACTGCCATATGTACTGGGACTAGCTTTGAAATTATAGCTGTCTGCAGATTCCTTCCTTTTGGTATGCAGCCTGAAAGGTTCATTGCTGACCATCGCATTTGGTTCATGACATCGTAATAATTCTGTACCAAACTCTGAGAATGAATCTTGTGACTTTGCCTCCTGTTGATTCTTTTCTTCTGGGGAGCCATTGGAATGGAGATAAAATGAATCTTGTGAAAAGTCCACGCTGCTTCCTCCAGCAACTTGGCATGCTTTTTCTGCCTCACAAAATTCTGCTACCTCTTTTGTGTTCTTCCAATTAGGATTGTATCTTAGGCTGAAATATTTGTCCACAGACTGTTGTTTCCTATTTAAAAAAGGAAACACAAAATTATTTATGTAAACTGAATTATTTCAGTGAATACGGCATGGCCGTTTGTAGGATCGGGATCAGAACAGTTTTATCAAGTTTTTTTTTAGTAGAAAACTTAGGCAGGACCTCCTCTTAATTTTTAATTTTCATTATCAGCGAATGATAAATTGGCCTAACATTCAGATCACAGTAGAATACAATCTTTATCCTAAATTTAGCATAGAAAACATAAGTACTAGTAGAATCAACTAAAAGATAAAATGATACATTGTACTGCTTCTGTTGCTTCCTTTAAAGTGATGTAGCTTACGAAAGACAGTAGTGTTGCTCATTCTTCAAAGACTCTGCTGTGTGAAATAAAAGTGATATCTTTTAAGTAAAATCACTCTCGCAAGCGTCAGTTTGAGGCTGTCTAAGCAAGAACAGCCTACAGCTCTGTATTTTTATTCTCTCTTCTCATTCCTATGAAACATCATGATGTTTCAATAAAAAACTGTCTATAAAAGACTTAAAGTAACTTCTCATTAAAAAACAGGCTGTAATTGAGATAAGTGTAGAAAAACATAAATCACAAAGGTTTGTGGGCTTGTTTTTTTTTTAACAAGTGTCCAAATCATTGCTCTGAACTACATTTGTCATAAAGCAAACAAAGATGGTCTGCCTTAAAAAAACCACAATTGATTCTGTTTATGGTTTATTGTCTGATCCAACAGGAGGAAAACCAACTGCAGGAGCCAAATGCATACAAATTGGCTTCCAGGAGACGTGCAAGCAGTGGCAGGAGTAAGGAGCGTGGGAGAAAAAAAGCTTTTAACGCTGTTTTTTCTTAACTGGACCTGCAGCATAGTCCTGGTTTCTTGGGCACTGACAAATGGTGAGCCTTTCAGAGTGACATTTATAGGCACTGAAACCTGGTTGACTCTTCAGCCCCTATTAAAAGAAATGTACTGATCTGCTGGATTCTCCAAACTGTGGCATAGTTAATTATATTAACATTTCCATAAATCATTTATTCATCCTTTCTAAATTAGTTACATGCCTATGCCTATATTTCAAGTGGCTCCTAATAATAAAATAATCTGTTTCTCCAGCAATGCTTTTCATTTCAGGTAAGCATTCATGCCATGGTATCCTGTGTACTAGAGATTAGATGATTTACACTGGTGAAAACATTATTATTCCTAGTTGTCATACACCACAGGCAAACAGAAATAGGTGACCATATTTTGAAATGAGTACAGAAATATGTGATATAATTGCAATGATTCAAATAACAGAGTATAATGCTAAAGAGTTCTATTGTGCTGAAATGTGTGCACAGCAGCTCAATTGTATTATGCAGGCCAGGTCACTGCACGGGAACAAAATGAGTGTGAAGAGCTCCTTCATCTCTAATCATCTGCAGACAAAAAGTGCACCTTTTATTCCTCCCCCCAACTTGATATAAAGGTTAGATGGACTCTGTACTCATCAACAAAAGCGTTGTATGTAGACAACAGATGCAGCGTTTCCTCTTCAAATTCCGAGGTTAGTAATGGATGTAGAGAGGGGGGTTCATATGTATATGCTGTGATATTTGCTCCGGTTAATGGACTGCATTTGAGTACTTACTAGGCTAAGTTCAAACAAAATAAAATCAAATTTCCATTTAATGAAGAGCCTCACATTCAGCACAGTATTCAGTCAAAAAAATTACTAAAAATTAGAGCATGTTTCTAGTACAATTAACATCATTTGCACTCACAATAAAATATTCAATAACTGGCCATTTTGCCTGTTGAGGAGGTGAATAAAAGCATGCTGTTAATAATTTAGCCTTCATTTGTTTGCCATTTTATTTTAAGTAGACAATTAAATTGAAACTGCACATTATTATTACTTCAGGTTTAATTTAATCCCTTTAAACTTGAGAATTATTCCTAATTTATGCAGTGTTAAACCTTTATGCATATGACAGCAAATTAAATTTTATTTTAGGTACCAAGTTAACGCTTTCTAAAGAATGTTTAAAGGTGACAGTAACCCTGGAAATTTTAATTCTATATTTATACGGCTATAAGGACAAAACTGCATTGATTCAACCCATCAATTTTTGCCTCTAAGTTTTCTTACGGGAAGTAGCCTGTTTGCTCAGCGCAGGTCTTTCAGTAAGAAACAAAAAGAGGATGTGTTGGTACTGGTTCTTGTTTTCTCTCTGGTCCTTTTTCACAGCCCAGCTCCAGAAACCCTCTAGCCCATGATCTAGCTGCTGCACCATCTGAAGGTAATGCCAGTTACATGGCAATGGCTGCCTATTTGAGACAGTAGCCAGCACGTACTGCTAAATATTGTAGTGCCTGATCTACAGCCCATTACAGTCATTAACTCCTTCCACTGACTGCAGTTCTGGATCAGGTAGACAGGAATAAGAGGGGATCTACATTTAATAGGCCATTTAACAGACCAGAAGAAACTGTTGTTAAATGCTCCCCCATTAGCTTACCCAGCAATGTTCAAGAGTAGGGGTTAACATGCATCTGTTCGCCACTTCCTCCCTTCTTGCCTGCCTGTTTTAGAGGCAACTAAACAGGCATGTAGCATTCGCCTCTGTATGCAGTGTCTAGAGCCAGTACACGGGGAACCTGTATGCGTCTGTGAGGGATGTTTTCTTTTCCTTCTTACCCTCCTACACTGGTGTTTCAGCCAACATAATAAACAGTTGAGGCTGTGTTGGAGAAATGGGTATAATAATTACAAATGTGGGTAAGATGAAGCAGTACATCTTGGTGTGTAACCAAGTCCGTAGCTGCTCTTAATAGCACTTTGGCAATACAAGTTGGTATTGAAGATGTCATGTATGTTCTGAGGAATGTAAGGTTTTAAAGTGTCAGAACTATTCTACTCATCTACTAAAATCCTGTGCCTTACCTTCCATTACCATCATTCCTTTGTATTCCATTTGTATATCGATTTGTATCATACTCAACTCCTTCTTGTTCTTTTAAACTCATCTCCTCCAAGCTATCTTCTAAGCTGTCATTCTCCAACTCATCAGAACACAGTCCTACCAGCTCTTCATTTTCATGAATCCGCTGCTGGAGTTCTAACTGATACTGTCTCTCCTGAACAAGGCTTTCAGAGTCTGACTCTTGGGAGTTGTGCAGACTTGAGGCAAAGTCCCCTTCGCTTACAGATGGCCTTTTCCAATTTGCGGGGTGGAAATCTGGTTGCATGAGTACATTTTGAGGAACATGGGTTTTATTCACGTTGCAAGTGGGTGGAGAAGAAACTGAAATATATTTCATATCTGAAGAATTCATTCTGTGTTTTGCACTGAGGGTGTATACACCAGCCCTGTATTTGGAAAACACGAGAGTAAACGTAAAAAGGTTGCTCGCTGTATAATAATGATTGTATTTGTTAAAAGCTAGAATTGTGGCAGTATCATTGGCTTAGGCTCACAATTCAACCTTCTATAGTTAAAACAATTCTTTACTCTCATCTTTTCCTTTAAGCAGTTAATATCAAGGTCACAATACACCAAATGCATGACTTACTGCTATGAAATCCACCTTAAACTATTAGTGGTAACAAAGCTAATCATGTATAAACAGCTTATGAAAAAGAAAATTAAGCTAAGACAGAGCAACAAAATTTTATGTTAACTTTTGAGAGGTAAAAGAAATTGTGTATGTTCTCTTTATTCAACTTATACCATCTTGATGTGTAAGCTATCAGCAAGAAAGTGTGTGTGACAGAGAAGAACAGAGTGAAAAGAACTGGAACGCTTCTTAAATTAGGAAGAGAGTTTCTTTTCCTTTGATTGCATTTAAATGTTCATAAGTCGTTTGCACCACCAGATACAAGCATCTGGGAGGAAGGAAAAAGGCAGTGTTTTGTGAAGACATGTACATTAGTCAGTTACAGCGCATACAGTGTGACCATTCCGTTTAAAGGCACATCGTGAGTTTTTTTAGTATGTGGGCGACTGTTTAGATATGGAAATGCAAAATATAATTTCTGATTTTTCAGGGTTAGTTAGCACTGCCTGTCACACGCGAATTTACCCTCCGGCAGGCCTTCTACACCTGGGCAGACTCCTGTATCCACTGCTCCTCTCGCTGCTGGGCGGTGGTGCCCACCCTGCAGCCCGGAGAGGAAAGCCTGGCACCGGCAAGGAACCTTTTGCTGGAAACCGCCTCTCCTGTCAGCAACCCCCGGTCAGCCTCCGCAGTGCGTCCACCGAGGGAGGCGAGGCCTTGCCCCTAACTCCTGTCCCAGGAGCCTCTCTCCGGCCTGAAGGCAGGCCTTCAGCCCCCCTGGGAAAAGCCAGGCCAGGCGTGCGTGTCCCCCACCCCACCCCGAAGCCTCCCCTCGCCCCCAACCCCCCTCACAGGCCCCCTCTCACCCTCACAGGCCTCAGCTCTGCCCCAAGGCCTCAGCCTCAGCCCCAGCCCCGACCCGCCGGCCCGCCGTCGCCATGGCGGCACTGGCGGACGCCGCGCCGCACCTACCAAGGCGCGAGGGTGGCGGGGGGGGAGGGCAGCGTGTCCGCCTCCTCTCCCGCCCCCCCCTCCGCGGGGAGCGTGGTAGCGCCCGGGCTGGGCGAGGGGCTGCAGGGCGAAGCCACTTTCCGCCTCAAAATGGAACTATTTCTTTCTAGCGGTGTTCAGAAACGGTTTTCTGCATTTTTTCCCTTAACTTCTAGTGAGAAATAATGATCATCTAGTGAGGAAAACAAGTACGGCTTTCTGTTGTAACGTAAACGGCCTTTATTTTAGGAATTCAGTGGGGTTTTCCCTCAGCAGAAGCGGGTCCCGGTGATGGCGGGCCGGGGCCCTGCAGGTGGGAAGTCTTGGCCATCCTCCTCGCTTTGCCTGCTGGCTTGGGGGGTCCCGTGGGTAACATCACGCATCCCCTCCGCGTGTGCCAGCCCCTTAGCTGACAGGACTTCCACATTTTCGGCACGTTTGGGTTTCAGAGCCGCCGGCAGACCGGTGCGGATGCAGTCCGAGAGAGCCGTCATGTCACGGTCGAGGTGACAAACCGAGGCAGAAGTCCCAGCGAGGGGGGAACAGCCTTCTTTCTTTCTAACACTTTGGACATCAGGATGCTTTCCTGCTTGGTGAAATGCAGCTGGATGCCCAGGTTTGGGGTCAGAATAAGATAATACAAGTCCCGGTTGGTTTGCAGCTCCCAGGGTTTCCTCCGCGGTCCCGTGCTTGAGGAGGAGGTGGCCGAAGCATGGCGTGAATATCTTCATAGCCTGCGTGTTCCCTTGCCGGGACCCTAGTCGCTGATAGCACCTGAGGTGGGATCGATGAGCTCTGTCTCTGGCAGTGGTTAATTAAATCCTCTGAGGATTTCAGGTAGATCAGTCTCTTCATTGCTAATAGGTTTCTGGGAGCACCGGTCCCATCTACCTGTCCCACTGTTTAAAGAAAAGCAGAATTGGCTTTTGGATTAAGGGTAGCTGCTTGTACTTCTGCTCCTTGGAATCATACTGATATCTGAACGCTGTAATATAAGTATCAGGAAACAGTGGCCTTTCTGCACATTGTATAGATTTACCGTTGCTATACATCTGTTTCCTTTCCACATCCAAACAGTTTCTCACTTATTGCAATGTTTTTGTCTGCTGGAGTCTTCTGCGTTGTTTCCGTATATCCTTCTGTTACGTATTGCGTGTTGGACTTCTGACTGACAACTGAAAGATAAACAGACATTTATTACTGATTTTGTAAAGGGGGTGTGTGTGTACCTGCATGATTTAAATATTTATTTTAAAATATTTGAAAAAGAAGGAAAGTTTGGAAAATATTTTGACAATAATTACAAGCCACTTTCTCTTTTAATGCAGTTTAGGTGCTGCAATAAACTCGTGTTGAAAAATGTTGGCAAAGTTCCCCCATTTTTGCTATGTGGGCTTATTCACCTGTGAAAGCTGCCTTTGTTTAGAAAAAAGTCCAAGTGTGGAGCAGAAATACCCCAGCTGAGGAGGCTGACAAACCTGCCTCGGTCTGTAGTCACTGGCTGGGGACAGGACTGATGAAGCACTAATGTTTTGTTGGTGGTGAAATCACGTAAGAGCCATTGAGGACAGTTTAACAATAGCAGTACTCCTGGTACATACCACGCATATTATTTTTAATAGTGTTTCAGTAGATTATATTTAGAAACTAGATAAACGCATTGTGATTGTCCAGTCTAACCTAGAAATTAAAAAGCAATGATTTTCATTTTGTACGGTTCTGCATCACTCTTGCTGAAGCTATAATCTCTGTGGTGGACCTCCAGGTATGAAAGGGTTGGGTTCAGAATATTCAGGTTTAAAACATGCAATTTGCAAATATTTCTGTATAGCAAGATTGACTGCAATCTGCTCTGGCTGTGGTCAGTAGCAATGCTCTACTTAGTTTATGTTGGTTAAAGCTTTTTACCGTTTCCATTCTTCATATGGCCCGGACTGTCTTCATTAGATTTGGATTTATAACTCTCCAGTGTCTGCTCTGAAACATCATTTTCTGTGCAGAAAACAAATGTAATTAAGATGGTGAGATTTTTCCATGACTCTTTCTCACTCTCTGCCTTGAGCAAAAAAATCCTGAGAGACTAGTTATAAAATGGGGATCCAATCATCCTGATCATCTGAGAGAGATGCCTAGGACAACAATTTCTTTGGCTTTCATGGCACCTCGTGTCAGCTGAAGCATGGCCCAAGGCCGTCAGTTACAGGGACTCTTCAACAGTTGTTTGGAACAAGTCACAGTCGCTATCTATGGGAGAAGGATGTTTTATTGGTGGCTGGAGGAATGGTGTCTTGTCTCCACTTAACAGGCTCCTCAGCTCTCCAGCCCCTCTGAATAAAGCAGCATCAGCAGTTGCTCTGACAGGGCCATCACCCACCTCTCTTCCACGCTCCATGAGCTTTTTTCAGCTTCCTCATAAAAAGCAGGACAATGATGAGCAGCACGAAAATCAGAGCAGCCACCAGGATTGGCAGCAAGAGATTATTCTGCTTCTTTTTGATGCCTTCAGATTTCAGATCTTGCTCTGTAAAAGAGGCAGGTGTATGTTTGTGTTGTTAAATAGCTTCCCGTGCGTCTCTGGTAATTAAGAATGATATATCCTGGACAAGGCCAGATGAACATGGTGGGAGACCAGAAGTCACTTTATTGGACTTAAGTTTAGGATGCGAGGTCAAATTTTTTCTTCTTGTATGAACAAGAAAAACTGATTGAAATCAGTGGACTCGTGCTCTGGCACAACAAACAGTAAAATTTAAAATTTTCTAGATGATAAAAATGGTTGTGTTTCTGTGGTCCCTCCCCAAGATTGGAAGCCAGCATTACCCTAGTGTACTGACAAAAGGTTTGAAGGTGGATACACGATCAGAGAGAACCAGCTTGGTGTAAGAAAGCTCGTTGCGTGTTTGGAAGCTGTCATTAAAGAGTTCGTACCGAAGGTGATGATGGAAATCACAGTTACGTTTTCACTTGGTAGTGAGGCTTCTGTCCTGGAAAGTTCCTCTTCTGTGACATTGCCATTGAATGCTGTTTCAGTCCCTGGAGGAATGGAAAGAACAGTATTTCTCTGAAGGGCAAAGGGATACTTAAGAAATGCATATTTTCCCAGCAGCTTTGAAGTCCAGGGCACCTGGTACTGCAATGGAAAGGGACTTCTAGAGCCCTTGAGTTAAAGCTCTGTGCTCACTTCCTTAACACTGTATTTTGTTTTAATCTAGACCACCTAAGCTTTATGAACAGAAAATCCTGAGAATCTCATACACATTCTTGAACTCAATGGTTCCCCTTTACAGCCAAATTAAAACAAAGCTGAGCTTTGACTCTTTGGTCATTTTGGGGCTTTCCCTGCCCATCAATTTGCTTCTCTTGCTTGCAAACCCAGGAATGAGCATGTATCCTTTTCCTTAAAGCAGGTATTTTTTTTTGGTATTCATATCCCTGACTACTCTTTTACTGTCTTCATAGCTCACATTGTGCAGTCACCCATTGTGAGAATCCCTGTCCTTTGCCACCGCCACCCATGTCTGATGATGTAAGGTCGTACCGTTGGGGACACGATAACTTGGTGAACCAGCCAATTCTTCCTTTCCTGCTGCAGCTGACGTTACTTTGGACCCTGCACAAACAGAGAGGTGAGCTCTGGCTTTCTTATGCACACAGACAATATCTCCTTTGATTTGTAAAACCAAAATGATAACGCATGCTGTGGCTACCGAAACTTTACATTCATAAGAGATGTCCTTCCTTATCAGGTATGTAAGCACACCTGGTGAAAGTCCTGTTAAAAGGTTCAGGCTCCCTCTCCATGTACGTTTATCAGCGTACATAGGAATCGTTTATCGGGATGTAGCCGTTCTGTGACGTTTGTCATCATCGATGTAGCGCTTTTAAACAGATATAAGCAAAGACTTCATGTATTTCTAAACCAGCTGACTGGTTTTTTTTTCACTGCAGGGCCTGTCATGCCTGCGCCCACCTTGGTCGGTTTTGGCCAACCGATTTGGGCAGTGGAGCTCTCAATTCTTCAGCTGGAAACACCTCCTGCCTTCAGCCGCTGGAGCCTGCAGCCTGCTGCATGCCCAGGTAAGCCTTGTTGCACAGTGCCACCTACTGCAACCGGCTGGAGAGGTCCCAGCCTGGGCTCACCTGCTGCCAGAGCTGCTGCTGCTGCTCCTGCTGATGCTCATGTTCTTCTGCAGCGAGCCAGAGAGGCTTTGCCTGCTTTCATGGCTGTAAAACTGAGGGCTCCCCGCACAAGCAGGAAGTGCTGGGGGTTTTATGGCACATGCTTGTTTGTAACGTGGAAGGTAACGCTGTTCTCAGTAGCATTTCTGTCCTGGTTTTGTTAAATGCGTGTGACTAAGACCAAACTTACAAGTAGATGCGGTGTCTGGTTGGAGGTTTTGCTGGGTTGGTGTTGGCGCTGAGCTGGTAACTGCTGGATCCTCTGGTAGTGCAGAAGGGATGGTTGTTTTTTTGGATCCTAAAGGCACCCACCACCCCCCAAACACAAGATAAAAATCAGAAGACACACTTTGCCGTTGAACTGATCCTTGAAAAATGAAACCTGCCCTGGACATGCCATGCTCCTGACTGTTTGGGTGCTCTATCTGATCAGAGGTTGTACTTAGAGTCCTACCCTCCCACCTTCAGCTTCCCTGTCCTCTGAATATATTTACCGCTAAGAAATGAATTAAAAAATGAAAGTGAAACACTTACTGGTATGCTGTGGGTAGCTTGGAGCGGAGGCCGTGCTGCTGTTCAGGTCTGACACTGCTGCGGTCACTGGGGAAAAAAACCAAAGTGGTTCTGAAGGCTGTGCAAAATGTCCCTCAGTGCTGATGGCAACTGGGAATAGATGCCATATTTATCTCACCTGTGCATTAATTAAAAAGAGGCCAAGCAATTAATGCCTACCTGCAGATTGCTCATTCTGAGAGACATGCGAAGCTGGTGCAGGATTTGGTTTTGTCGCTGAAAAAACCCGACAACAGTACAACTTTCAGAGCACTTCGTAAGCATTTGTTGAATCAAGCAATATAAGGAAGAATGAAGTAAGAATAATTAGATCCATCCCAAAGATGAGTAAATAGGCAGAAGGCAAACTGAGAATTATTGGGCAAGCAGCTTCAGTGTTAATTTACAATATTTACACCCTGCTCGCTTTCCAGGTGCATGTGTCTAATATGCAGGAGATACGGGAAGCTCACAGCTTTTTGAGAACATAAACTTTGAGTTATCTTTAAAACTTTACGACAAACATCACCTGAATCCTAGCAGCAGCATTGGAGAACTGACCTGCCTGGGCTGCTGTGGCTTAATGTTTAATGAATTTTAAGGTAGTTAAGAAGCAGGAAGAAGCCCCAAAATCTTAGTTTGGAGTTGGTCTTTGCCCCAGGTAGCCCTCTCATTTAAAAATAGATCCCACACATGGGGCAGTAGGCTATAGTCTTCAGCTTTGCGTATGTATCTGCATAACTTTCGCCACTTCAGAGTGGTAAAAATCTGCTGAGGGAGCCTGTGATACCTGTCCTAGGGAGGTCCTCAAACCGGAAAGATGCCATCAGCTTCTCTTCCCTTAGTGCTTGGTGGTGAACGATGCAGCTGGCTGTTGAATTGGGCCCATAGGCGAGGACTGTCAGCGTGCTGGTTGTGGTCCATTTCTTCCCATCAGCTTCTAACTTGTGCTTAGTGTCACCTATACACCCATTGGAAGAAAACGTTTAAGTGCTTTCTAGTCAAGAGCAATTTAATGAAAAACCTTCCAGGCACAATCTGCATTACTTTGCTCTGCTAAAGCAGCACCTGATTACTGTGCACAAGTGGTTCATTGTGTAAATGGATTACATGGGAGCCCAAAGGCAGCAAGGTCATGTTTTCTTCCTTGGCAGTTAAGTGCAAACCTTGCTGCACCTCCTGCGCTCAACCCACAGCCTCTGCTCAGTTTCATGACACATGTGGGGAAATTCCCCGACAGCACCCTGCAGGACCGCAGTGAAACGTCCAAACGCCCACCAGCACTTTTGCTCCTTACTGAACAGAATAAATTGCTTTGCTGTGTGCCACAGCCACGCATGGCCCGCAGTGGGGAGCCTCAAGGCAAGGACCTGCTGTTTTGCAGCACGATTGAGATCTAGAAAAGTTCTGATTCTGCTATGTGATATTCAAGGGCATTGAATTTGTGTCTTAATAGCTGTGGATTTGTTACCCCAAACATAAAAAGAAGTTGTGCAATAAAATAAAATAAATATGGATGTGCAATGTTTAGATTGTAATAAATAAACACGTATATAACTCTATGAAATCTTGTGCAAGTCCTCCATCATCCGTATAGTGCAGGTTTGACTCTTCCCCTTTTGCAGCTGGGCAAAGTTAAACACAAAGATTAATTGCCTTGCCATAATGAATTAGAGAGAGCCATGTAACTTGTCTGATGTAGTTCCTAGTCCTCCAGGTAATACTGACTTCTACTCATTTATATGATACGGAAAAATAAAGATGTATTTCATGTGACACAAAGAGACATGTTTGAATAGCTCTGGTGGAGAGGAAAGTTTTTTCAGATGTTTACTTTAAATGCCATTGGGGACACAATAATTTCTACTGTTTGTGTATAATGTAGAGGTTCTCTGGAAGCAAACTGATGCTTTCTCTTGATCTGTTACCCTTGGTAACACCCTTATGTCTTAAAGGAAGGAAATTCCTTGTTTCCAAATTAGCCTTTACAGATAACTTGCTGTATCATATAGACCAGTATTTCTCAACCCTCTTTTCCATCCCCAGCAGGGTCATGTAAGAGCTCAAAAGGATTTCGGAGTGTTTTTGCTAGGAAGGAAATAATCTTTGTCAGCAACAGCTCAGTAATTACAACTGGTTCGCTCCTGCTGAGCCCTGGTGGAACTGAGGTGTTGCCAGTAATTAAGATGTATTAGCTATTTTCTGATTAGTATAAATATTTGCAGTAAGTGATTAAAGCTGAGAATGGAAGGGGGAGGAAGGAGTGTTCCTCAAAGACTGTCATCCACAAAAAAAAGGAAAGACACATGCAGAAAGTTTGAGAAACAGTGAATTAGGGCAGTTATTTTTTCCTTTCTCTAATTCGCGTCGGCCACAAGCAGGCCGCATGGTGAAATCAGCACCTCTTCATGCAAATATTCCTTTCTCTGAAAACCAGCCACAGATGAAATCAACCACCCAGACACCGCACAGGCCCTGCACTGCTTAATTACATTCCAGGTGCCTGTGGGGCGGGAGGTGGAAGGTTAGGTAGTTCTTCCTGGGATGGCTTGCTCTAAGGGCTGACGGGGTTAATGCTACAGAGGTAAGGAGGAGATCAAGGTTAAGTATAGGTTTTTGCTAAGACAAGTGGAGAAATGCATGGTTGGCTTTATGTGTCGTGGGAGGTGTTTAGTGTCTGAGTTGCGTGTTGTGATGTTACAAATGATGTCCTTTATCAGGCCAGAAAAGAGGTTGTTTCAAGTTTAAGGAAACCCCTTGTTTTAGAAGAACACTGGGAAAAATGTATATAAAAACGTAGAGGTGACATACTGCTTCCCTGAGCTCTTCATAACCTTCACAGCTGGTATTCTCCAAAGCCCTTATAGTCACACACAGAGTCCAGCTCTTCCCAAACACATGCAGGATTTTAGAACCTGCTTTTCCAAGACCTATGCGCTGCTCCAGAGCACCTTTCCCCCTGCAATTGCAGATAGCTCCCTGCCCTGGCTTTCATGTCCCTCACTTGCCAGCTATGCTGCTTCCCCTGAGTGCAACTCCTTTAAGCATAGGGCTTTATGCTGATGCATTAATCCCTGTGTATCTGGCAGCCTGGATATTTTTCTTTAGTCTTGAGTTCTAGCTATATTGAGGCCAGCACACTTCTCTCTTTTTTTCTAGAGCTCTTAGTTAAAAAAGCCATCTTGGGGCTGGGGGGAGGAAGATTAGTCTAAGCTTTGAATATGTTGCTTGATGATGCAAAATACAAATAAGAGCTTGTTGATACGTGAAGGAAAATGCATTTTCATCTATGGGTATTTTCCTCACACTGTGATACAGATGTGCATTTCCTTTCCACTGTGCTACAGTTACAGCTAGTAAGGTAGTTATTATTAGAACATGGCCTTCAAAAGCAGCTGTTTATATCATACACAAATTAAATCGAGCTATGTGGTGGCTCTGTTCCTCCTCGCTTGTGTCCACCCAGATGCGTGCAGACCTCTCACTGCTGGGAGCGTTGCAGGGTGGTGTGGGCTGAGTTTCCTGAGCTCTCTTCTTGCTCCTGCTAGTGAGCTGCCTGGCTCTGAACACATTAATGAGAGAGAAATGCTGCTGGTGTGCCTGTGAGCTGCTCAGCAAAGCTGAGGAAAATCTGTCTACTATTTACAATATGGAAATAGTGATAATGGATTTGTTAACAGACTTTATACTGGGGCTTTGAAAATTGTGCCTCCACAGTTTTGGTTTCATTTTATTTCAGCGGAATTTCCCTGCAGACTCTCAAGGGATTTTGGTGCCAAGTGGTGGTGGTCTGCCCTGAATGTGAGCAAAGCAAATGAGCCCTCTCCCTTGCACAAATACTGGAATTTAGTGCTGATTTTTCTCCAAACCTGCACCATGGGGTCCAAGTTGTACTAAATGAGTGGAGGATGAGTGGTAGCCCCAGCTGATGTGTTGCAGAAGGTGTTTCATCCTCCATTATTTTTACATGCGCCCAAGGCTGATAAGAAGAAATTGTTAGTAATCAATCCCTGGTCCTTTAACACTTACCAGGGAGCTCTATCCCATTGTCCAACAGCCAGGTAATCTGGGGCTGTGGTTTAGATCCTTGGGTATAGCAAGACAGTGTGATGTTCCTTTCTGTGTCTTGGGATACTTCCAGTACTGGATTAGAAGGAGTAGCTGCAGCAGTAAGATTTAGAATCAGTTATAGTACATCTTTCTACTCAGTTTTATGAATGGTTGCATACATAGCATTATTTGGGGGGGACTGAGCTAAGACGAGGCTTATGTTGTGTTAAGCACCATACAACTGCAGGCAGAAACGCAGGTCTGCAGTTGAGGAGCTCGCTTTGTTGTTCTGCTCCTCTGGAACAAAGCAGGTGAAGGAACTTACCTAATACCTTGACAGCCTCGTCCTTGCTTTTGAACGGGGTGCTGTAGTAGAAGCATTTATATACGCCTTCATCGTGCACTGTTACGTTAGACAGTTGGATGGATAATTCATCCTTTGAATAACGGATAAGTTTGTACCTCTGATCTCTTAAAGCTGTAAGGAAAAGAAAACCCAGCATGCTATGCGTGTTGGTACATAAGAGGAAGACAGATAATCAAAGCAGTAATGAGTGAGGATCATTTTCTTTATTATATTTTTCTAATTCATCAGCACTTGATGTAAGGGAGCAGTTCTAGCATAAAACATTCCTAGCTGGTGCTGCGCTAGTACAGACGCAGTAGTAAATTGAAGAAGGGGAGATGTGTGCTGTCAGCAGGCAAAATGACATGTTTTTTCTTGCTTTTATTTTCAGGGGGTCTTGTTCCTGTATTCCCAGCTATTGTAGCAATTTGGGTTCTTTAAGTGCCTAGATGGATTAATACAAGCAAACATTGGGGTGTGAGGACATGATATATGGTCAGAAAAGTAGTATGATCTTTGAATATACAGCATAGATTCACAAACTGAGGACCTTTCTCTTCCCCATTCCCCAGGCCTTTGTTTGGCTTTGAAAAAATCACTTCCCCTCTTTGGGTGGTTTTTTTTGATATATAAATGAACACTATGGTCAGCACACACCTCTTTATTAACTGCTTATTGTTTGCCTGTTTTGCTTCTCCTACCCTTGTCTAATTACTTTGATTTTAATGAGACCATCTCCTAGGATATCTGTACTCTGCTGTACAGTTCCCTTTCTCTCTTTCTCAACTTTCTAGTCTTTGCTTCATTCCTCCTGCTGGATGACTCATGGGAGTCCTTGGGATCAGACCAGCAAGTCACATGGACTTTTCCCACAATCGCAGGATAGAAAGTGTAACTTTCTGCCCTTAAATTGAACTGAAACTGGGGCTGTCTACCAGTCATTAGGGAGAAAAAGACCTCAAAACCTATCTTTTTATTTTTAATTTTTTTAGCTTAGGTCTTGTTGAAATACAGAATTGGGAGAAAATCACAGCAGTACTATAATTTATGAAGTGATTAATTATTAAAGGATCTTTAAAACACCATGATGTAAGACTTGTAGCTAGCTTGTCATATTTTTAGCTATGAGACTGGAGGGAACTGATTCATGAAGTGGTTTACTGGAGAAGCAATGTGACTGAGATTCACAGTGGTGATTCAGAATAAATGAAAATGTCCATTGGCGCTGTAAAGTTTGGTTTCTCCCTAAATGAGGACTGTTTTCTTTTGTATTGCAGAAGGAAAATATTCAGTGTGTCTGACTTATCAAGGATCCAAATACTTTGCAAATTCTAGTCCTTGTGGGTGTTATATCACGCGTCTTACTGAAGGGGGAATTGTGGGATATGGAAACTATGGGTTGAATCCTCAGGTGATTTAAGACAGATACCGTTTTGTTCACTCGGGTTAGGGTCTGCTCCTATAGAGACTAGTGGATATGTTCTTTCCCTAACCTTATTAAATTGCTGTGTCAACTCAGCAAAACTTGAAGCATCAAAAAGGCTAGAGCCGTTAAAAGGTGGAGATGTTTAAAACTGGACATGGGCAGAATAAAGTGTCTCAGTCCAAAATTGTTTGCATAGAAAGAGAGTGTTTGTGGCTGTAGCTAGGGCCATAGAGAACTTGCATGAATGAAGGAATTATTGCTGCTCTTGCCTACCTCTACAGGGTAAAATACTGAGAACATACATATATGTAAAAAATAGAGATAACTGATGGAGAGGCGATTTCCTCCTAGGTCTTGCAGTTCTTGGGTGCATGATTGGACTAATAGACTACAACAGGAGAGGGGAACTCCTGCCATAGCCTGCTGTGGTTTTTGGAAGCCTGGATGTCAAAGCAGCACAGGGCAGGTTGCAGTAGCCCTGTTTCCCGTATTGATTAGCTGTCAGTGGCTCAGCACTGAGGTTTTTTTGATCCCATTTGATTCTAATGGTTCATATGCATTATACTGAGAGTACTGAACTTGGGATCCTGGATTCCACAAGAAAATACATACATGTGTGAGTCATTTAAAATTGCTAATGAACACTCATCCCACTTGCTCTTGTAACTGAGTAAATAGGAGCAACAGTTACTCATTACGTTTTCCATTTAGAAATATTGGCAATACTTGCAGGAAATATTAGTAGCCTGGTTTGATGCAGGTGGCAAGACCTGGTGCCTGGGCTTCCCAGAGCAACCGAAGAGGACGCTCAGTTCCTGGGCAGTTTCAATGGGAGCTGGGTACCCAATGTCATTTGGCTAAATCCCAGTCATTATTATCATTAAAGCCTAAAGGCTTTAGCAAGCAGAGGTGCTGACTAGGTACTGTACAAATGGGGAAGACCAAGGCAGTCCTTATCTTGTAGAGCTGTCGAATTTAGGCCAACAGGAGGAGAGATAAGGACAGAGAGACATGAGTTGTAGGGAGTGGAAAGGAACACAATAATTGTAACTTCGGTTTTGTCAGCACATATTGGAAATCACTGCTTGTTTTCTAAAAATTTCCTCTTGATGCACATCGAATTTGCCGATGAGAGGAAGAGTACCCAGGGCTTTCAGGCATGTCCACTCCTGTCTCTCTTGTAAGGCAAGAGTAGGCTTTTGTGCTAATCTCTTGGTGCTGGTGGTAACTACAGTTCATTGCTAAAAGCTCTAGTGCCAGACCACTCTTGTGGAGGTTTCCATTTCGTCAGCTTCTTGCCAGAAAGGGGCTGAATGTAAAACCACCTCGAGCAGTTGGGGAGCAGGTGAGTCAGACTGGCCATGGGTGGGAGCCAGGAAAGCACACTTCTGAGTGACCCTCCAGCCCCCCGTGGAAAGTGCTACATTCAGTTTTCACACTTACCCCGGTGGGTGTTTAGAAAAATGGCAAACCCGTGAGGGTTAAACCACTGCCGGGCTGAACTGTTGTCGCTGCTGAGGGTGCAGCGGAGATTTAGGTCCTCTCCTTCCTTTAGAGTTATGGTTTCACTGCCAGCTCCTGGAAAATCCCCTGCCAGAGATAAAGGGAAAAAACAAGTATTAAAATGTGACATGAAATAAAGCGACGATGTTTCACACAGAGTAATATGTCAACTTTCCTTTTTTCAAAGGCGTAAAGGTTTTTCTACATTAGGAAACTTGCCAATATGATTGCACCGTTATAAATAAATTACAGTCATTAGATAGGTCATCACAGTCACTGGGTAAGACTTGTACCAAAGGTTTGTGATCTTCACCTGCTAGCACAACCAGGTTTAGTTATTAAACATTATTCCACGTGAGTCAACGAAGAATTGATAGCAGACCCCTTTAATGCACATTCTCCCTGTATGTTAGCACAAACATTAATTTTCATCATTCCATGTTCCATTCTGGAGCTGTTGAACCTGATTTGCAAGTCTGTATGACTGAGCAGTGAATGATCAGCGCCTCTGAAAAATGAGGGGGTTTTATTCAGAAATTGTAATGCTGCAACTGCTTTGAACTGGCTTTGAAACTTCTTTCAAAGATAGGATCCACAAACCTGGCATGGCACAGGTTACTAAAATGAAATTTCATTTTCTCTCCTCCCAGTTAATTTTACAGATGGGCAGTAAAGTGTGTTTTTCTCTCCAGACATTCTAAGATCTATAATACATTTTGTGAAAATATTTGATGACCTGGAATGAACTGCCTTCCTCAGAAAAAAGCCTGTCCTGGAGAAATTACTAAGAGCAGTGCCTGGGTCAGAGTTAGGTAAATAGGCAGTAAGAGGGTTTTATTTTTCATTCCCGTTTTGTGTGTTTTGATTTTATTTTCCAGATAGCTGTCTGCTGCAAGTTCCTACTGCATACATAAGCACTGCAGTTTGGGGAAACAAATCTTTCTGGGCTTCAGGAAAGCTTTTCATTTTCTTAAAAACATTTTAAAATATACCAGAAATGAAAGTATCATAGGGCATTCTTGCTGGACCTGATCTTTTTACCACTAAAATCAGAGGAAGGACTTGTCTCCCTGTAAGACAGCAGTTTCTCCTGGGGATCTGTTGCCATGCCTTACCCTTGAGTTGAGCACACCCGACATTGCGGGGGCCAGACGTGGCCCAGGAAAATGGTCAGTGTTGTAGCTTGGGACTTCACAAATAGCAAATACACCATAGGTCTTTTCTCTTTCTTCGCTATCTAATTTTTGGAGTCTATAAGCTTGTAGAAGAGATTTCCTTGTAATATCTCAATATTTTTACTTCCAAATTTGTAAGCATCATGTATGCTGCTTTTGCTAAGGAGAAACTCTGCAATACAGATCTGCTGTCTATCCTTTACTGCCAGGAGACACCACAGGTTGGGTTCGACTGAATCACCGTGCGCCGGTGAGGCCCTGTTGAACTTAGAGTGGCCGTAGCTGATTTACCATCACATATGGCACATCAATGCCTTTGGCTTATATTTCCTCTTGATTCCACCTCCATTTCCTAGGGTTAGTGTCTCAGCTGGTTTTTCAGGGCTTGTGCCACGTGGGGGTCATTTGCAGAGGAGCGGTAGGAAAGGAAAACCTCCTTGCAGGGGTTCCACTTGTGAAGACCTGTGTCGGGAGGTGTATGCTGTTAAGGTAGCAGAGAGGACCTTGTCTGTGGTTTTGCACAGGGCCCTTCTGTGTTTTTTTGTAGCGATGGTTTCCTGTCGCTAACAGCACTGTGGGGTCTTTCAAGTCACACCTTTTGAGGTGAAAGCAGCAAGACTGAACAAGGAAAGGTGGGGGTGTTGCTTGCTTTTCTAAAAGAGAAGAAAGCAGCCCCCAGAACAGAGCATAGACGTAACTTCCATGGGAGACCATGACTTCATTCAGACCATGACTCACAGGTCAAATTTCCTTCCTCGCATGGGGGGCAGTTTGACATGGCTGTGGTCTTCAAGCCACTGTAGCCCACCACAGTACAGTCACTGGGGCATGGGAGATGCTGCCGTGCCAGCTCTAGGGGACTGTGATTCTTGTACTGTGTGGATCCTAGGTGCCCCAGCTACCCGGAAAAATTAGTCTGGCATCAAGTACAGTGATATATCCACCTTCTTGGCAAGAAAGGGCAAACATTTCTTGCTAGAAATTGTAGGATGCAACTGAACAGAATGGTTCGTGCCTCTGGTTACTATTATTTTAGCCATCAGAAAGTGCACAGAGAACTTGTTGCGGTGATATGCACTCAATGCATCATTTCAGAGTTATCTTTAAAACTGTAGCCTATAGAGACATCATGTTTAATGAGTTATTTTTGACCTGTGGCTGCCAACCTGTGACTGGGAGTCTGAATTAATTCTGATGGCCAAGAGCAGCTAGCGGTTGTCAGCAGGTAAAAATTCAGCATGCAGGAGTCTGTAGCAATACTGGGGGAAGAGGGATTGTGTGCTCAGAGTGGAAGCTGCTGATTTGGAGCAAGTCTAAAGGGCACTGCAAGTGCTGATTCAGCTAGAATGTAACCGACAGCTCCTTAAGGCCTGGCTTCTGTTAAACACAATCAATGGTAATAAAATATCCTAAGCATATGGTATTACAGAATGCTTTGTTGCTGTTTAGACACCGAGGTTTCACGTGGCCTCTGTTAACGATACCCTTGTGTGTGAGAGCATTAGCAAAGTGTCAGCAATAGCATTGCTATGGTTTCTCCTCCAGCATTTGTTGAGAAGGGAGAGGGACTATTGCTTCGGCCAGCACCAGGCTCGTGCGTGCAGTCCTCCTGCAAAGGTCAGGAGTGAAACCTGCAAGAATCCTGAGCTGTAAATAGCTGTCTTGCTGCTTTCCTTACTTAAATCTTTCTCTATTTGACGTGGTCAAATATGCATCTCTCACACTCTTCTGTGTATGAAAGACAGGAGATTAACAAAGTAAGTATAAGCTACATCCTCTAGTAGTAGGAGTAAGGAGATTGAGCATTTAAAGTGCTTTTCATTTTCAAAGTACTTTGCAAGTGCTTTCTAAACTATTCTGACTTCTTATATTAGCCTTTCTTTACACAATACATGAACAAAGGCATACACAGATATCCAAGCCATGGAAAGTAAGCAGTGATCCGCTATCCAAATTTAAGGGAGAATCTTTAGATTCCCCAATGCTTTGCCATCTCAAGCATGCCACCAGCTGCTAGGAGGTGAATTGGTCTCCTCGATGCCGGGTTTAGGAGTCAGCTGGAATCCAGCACCAGCGTGCTCTGGGAATTGGATGACAACGTGGCATTGCCAACAAGAAAACAACAGCAAAGCTGCCTTGCGCGTGGCATGCTGAAACTGGAAATGGAGCTCTCCAAGCTGGACTGCTTGCAAAAGGGAGATCGTGTTAAGACGATGCTTATCGCTTACCTTGCATCAGGAACAGAGCCGCGACGTGTAGCACCCTGGTGAAAGTCATGTTGCGGTGTGGGTGCAGGCGGACGGCGCTGGCTTCCTCTCTCTGCCGGGGCCGCTGCGCAGCAGGTCCCTTTTCAGCACGGGGGGAGCAGATTTACCGTGACTTCATCACTGCCGGGGTCTCTGCCTCCTTTCCTTCTCTCAGCTGTTCCACTCTCTTCTCCCCTGCTCCGTCTCATGTTTCCGACCGCTGAGAAATCGGTGACCTCACAGGTCCCTAAAATGAAACTGGTGGGTGACAGGACTGGGGGTATTTCACCTTGCACCCCCTCCGGCTCGCTCTCACTCAGCATCTGTGCGGGGGAGAGGTGTATGTGGCGAGGAGAAGAGGCTAAAGGTTGAGAGAAACGTGGGCCGGGGGTAAGCCCTGCTGCAGGGATGCTACGGGTGCGCTGTGTGCAGGATTTAATTCCTCAAGGTGGGGAGGCACCCAGGAAGGCAGAGCTTGTTTGGCGGACACTGCCGTAGTGCAGGAACTGGCAAGGTTGCTTGAAAACCCAGCTGTGCGGTTTAAATCACTGGAAAAACAGTCTTGGGTCACTCTGCGTCGCATACCGCCACGTGCACGGGAGGTTTGCTTTGCTCTGCTTGCAGGGATCCTGGCAAAACAAATAACGAGAGAATGGTAATTTGCTGTGTGTGGTTTGTGTCTCTCCGGGGAATGAAGAGTATTGGTGAGGTGGTTGTGAAAGGTTCTCTGAAGCATGGGGCAGAGGGATGACTACATCCCAGAGGACCGGTGGCAGAATCTGGGTTTCCCGTGTCCCCTTGAGGGTCTGATTATTTCAGGAGTTATCTGGAGCATCGCAAACCTTTTTGTGTCTCCTTGTGTGCAATGTCTAGTAACATCACAAGATTTATCCAAGCCTGTTGTAGGCAGAGCCTCTTTTTGTGGTGTAGCCACGTGTGCTGATTTCCAAAAAGGCTTTGGCACATCCTCTTCTGGCATTTCTCTGCAACTCCCCAACGTTTAGTGCAAATGACTAATATTGTCAAAATGAACTGACTTTAATAGGTAAGAAATATGGTTTAAAAACTGTGCATTTGCAGGACATGGATTTGAGTGAACTGGACAAAGTGGTTAATTATAAATACATTATGCATTTCACTTCTAATTTATTGGAACCTGTTTCCATTAAACTTTCAGGTGCATGGAAGTACATCATTCTATTAGTGTCTGTCTGATTGATAAAAGCTATGGCTTTTATGTTAATTGTAATAGAATTAGTTTTACTGAAAAACAGAGCTGTAGGCCATAAAGTTTAATGTAGATAGTTGGTTTGAAAGGAAAGAGTCTCACTGCCTGATAAAACTACTGCTGGATTAAAAAATCCAGATCAAGAAAGAAGGTATGTGTTGTAAAGGTAAGCATTGCTTTGGTTTAAAAGTTGTGCTTCCAGTTCCACACACCTAAACCCGACAGTAAAATAAATCTGGGGAAAAAAGCCATCCAGCTGTAGACACACTGAAGCCACCTGCCTCTGACCCAGTGGGAAAACTGTGTCCCTGTTCAATAGATGGAAAACCAGACTTGAGATGGTTTTGTGCCATCTGCTGTCAAATAAATGAACTTCATCTTCAGTGGAGGGAAGAAAAACGTAGCTCAAATTCCCCTTTCTCCTTGATGCTTCTGAGGTTTGCACCCCAAAATAGGATGCGGTGAGGGCAGCATTGCAACCCAAACTGAGAAACAGCCCTGACTCCCTTTTTATTTCAAGGTCCCAGTACAGCTGCTCTCTAGGCATATGCCCAGTACAGGTGTTTTTCCTACCTACATCTTGCTGGAGCCACTGAAAACGTTGCTCAGGTGCACCCCAGCAATGTACCGGCCCCTCTAATCAGGTACTTCACTGAAGGTCTGTGTCAGAATATTCACTCCGGCAAAGTCCAACATGCTTGAGAGGAAAACTTAAATAGGAAGGGCAAGGTGCGGGTGCGTGGCATCTTTATTAAATCATCTACGAGACATTTTTGTCTGACTTCCAAGAAATCCATTTAATGTCATAAGCAAATTAAAATGCAGTGGTTGTTTTAACAGTTGTTAGCACTTTAAACTGAGATTTAAAAACAACCAAACCACCCCCCCCAAATAAAAAAATACAGATGTCACAGGTAATTACAGCTATTTTTGGCAATACAATTATTGTTTTTTTTAAACAGCAAACATTTTTCTCAAATAAATACAATCTGCTCACACTAAAAAACATAATAAACAGAATGATACAACAGGTTTAAAATGAAAAAAATAAAAAAAAAGTATCCGTTGATAACATCAAGTTTTAAGAGATGTCCACAGAGAGAAACTTCAGAAAATACATTTTCATGGGAAGTAATAGAAAGGAACTGGCTGCGTATTGTCTGTTATGTAGCATGTATGGTTCATGAATATTCCCCAGGGAACAAGTATTTGAGGAAGTGGTGAGAAGTAGCGATTTAGAGTGTATGCAACCAATCACATTTGCTGCTTAATTATTTTTTTTCTTGTTCGTTCATTCACCATTTTAAGCATGTCTGCTACCACCATAATTTCACGTATATTTTTAAAGTTCAGATAACTTCCTCTATGCTTAAGCTCTTTTTTAAAAACAAAACATATCAAACCACAAACCAAACCTATTAAGGCTCCCTTTCTAAACAATAGTTTTCATACAGAATTTCAATACATTTTAAGTTGTGAAGCATCGCAAACTAATTTCCAGCTCTGGGTTTAAATGAGGGTTAGTCGACTACAGCCTAACTCAACTATCTAGCATCCCTCTTTTTGAAATGAACATGAATATAATCAGACACGAAATCTCACCCTACTTCTGCATGCATTTCTTAAATCAGGACTGGAAGGGCTCAACCCCGCACAGATACGAGCCCTCCAAATTCCTCATTAAGTCAGTGGCAGGCGGGGGGGAGCAGCCTGTGGTAGGACCAGGCTTTGCGTGGATTTATCCCAAGCCTGAGGAAATCATGAGAAATCTTCCTCTTTGTTTCCCGGGGCTCTGGATCAGGCCTTTGTAAGCACCCACAGGACCCAGAGGGAAAAGTTTACAACCCCTCACATCCTCCTGCAGTATGCAGGAGCTAAGTAGAGAGGCTGAGTTTGTCACAGTGCTGTATGCAACCCACTCCCCATCCTCTGGCTCTTTTTTTCCCCCAAAGAGACGCAGTCGGCGCACGGTCAAAGATGACAGTACCCACGTCCCTGAGCTATTGCTACCTGGGGGGCTCAGGGCTGCGGATACAAAATCGTACTCTGGGAAATTGCACGCTAGCATCCCTTCCACCCTTTTTGCTTTGCAGAATTACTGCTGGCGTTGCCTTTGCTGAAGAGAATTCCTGCAGAATTCTTGTAAACCACCACTTATTTGGTGATGTAAATTATCACTTTTATAGTAACATTGACACTAGAAGCTAACACCAGAGGAGAGAAGCAGGCTCCTACCATCAGCTGACTTCTTTCTGAAACTGTTCAGTCTGAGTGAAAAGGGAAATACGTTTTTTTTCTGAAGTTATGGCCTGGATCCTCAGTTTGCATAAACAAGCAAAGTTCTGTTGATTTGAGTATACAGTGTCGATTTATACTCAAGGAGAACCTGGTTCCATGCTCAGAGGGCTTAAGGATTTGGCTGTAGCTGCCACTGCACTAAATGTAAAGGGAACGCGTGAAACTATAGACCTGGCACCTGCACTAAACTGGAAAGGTATCCCCAGGCAGAGCTCAAGCCTTGGGGTTGGGGTGTGCTGCAGCCCCCTCCCATCCATTTCAGCAGAGGGAGATAGAGAGTCCAGTGATAAGGGCGAACTCTTGATCAAAACGTGAACTTTTTCAAATACCCTGGTTTCGACCTTCTGGTGCCGAGTGTTATCCCGTCGGCTGCTGCTGTGCTAGAATTTGATTCTGCGCTTTGATTCTTGTATGTTTCTAGCCCAACCCTTCAGTTGCAGTTGTGAAAATACTGGATGAACAACTTACTCTTGGCAGATTTCCAGCTTTACTCCTTAACTGGGAAGAGAGGGAACTGCTTTTTCCCTCCTATACCCTAATTAAACTCTTGGGATCTGATGCAGCTCACAGTGAAGGCAAGGGATAGACTTGCATGCCCTTTAGATAGATCAAGTCTAACATTCTTCTGGGACAAAACACTGAAGTGACGTTAAATACACATTAATGAGCAGCAATGAAGTGAAAGTGAAGCAGCAATTGTTTTGTATTCTTAACATGTCAATTAAAAAAATTTAAAAGGAACATCTTTTTTTTTTTTTCTCTTTTTTTCCCCCCAACAAGCCTTATTAACATGAGGCTACTTAACACAAAACCCCTATGAGAAATCAAAATGCTAGAAGAAAATAAGATTTTTCTTTCTGAGATTCTTGACACCTGAAAAATCTAATTTGAGATAAGACTAAAATTGTCAAAATACTTTCCCAAACATCCAAAAATATACTTTTTTTTTTAAGAAGAGGGTATTTTAACATCTACCTTCTCAAACAGAACATTCTTTTCTATGTTTCTTACTATATGCAAAGATCAGCTAGTACAATATTCAAACTGTGCATTCAGGTTTTGTTCTCTCTCTGTTTCATGCTTCTGTCTAAATAAACTCCTTGTAACGTCGCTTAACTGCAGTAGGACCGGAGCAGCCTCCACTGTTTTGTATAGGCAATATTTGTTGCCTCAAATTACATCTTGCTGGCCCATAGCGTGAAACAAAAAGTAGTCCGGAGAATTACACATGCATCAGTAACCAAATTAGTTTTGGTGTGATTGTCATCTATTTAGTTTTAAACTCTTTGCAAATTTGCAGTGAGTAAGCATGGAGGAAAACAAGCCAGAAATGCTCTTCAGAATGTGTGTACACAGCCAAAAATAGTTTAAATTACAGTTAAAAACTAAAGTGACAACAGGATAACTGCACAGGAGCAGTTTCTTCTGTCGCGTCATAAGTTATCTCCCTGACTTTTCAGTATACATCCCCTGTATAATAATGCACTTATGAATGGCCTACTGTG